TCTTTGGATTACCACTGTTTTTACAATGAGACGCCATTTAGCCTCTGATATGCTGCATATATTTATGTATGCTGTATACACACACATATACACACACATATATATTTAAATATATATATATATATATAATTTTTTTACGCCATAACTTCACATTTTATTTTGAAGGTTCTGACTAGAACTGCATATTTTGTCTCCTCTAGTAGCCGCCCAGCTGCTTTCTGAACTTGGATTATTGTGCAGACTCCGTCTGAGCCACAGGGACTACAATGAAGCTGAATGTGAAACTTTTTTCTTTTATTTCCATGACTGTTGGACTTACTCTCTCTTTAAAAAAATGTCCACCTCGTTGCAAGTGTGATTGGGAGAGCAACAGTGTTTCATGCATCGGAGTGGAGGAGATGCCTTTGTTTGATTCTTCAACACAAGAGGTGTAAGTAACAGCCTTTTATGACACAACATTTTGTTAGTAAAGGAGGTGTCAGGACTGAAAAAAATATATTTGTGTTTCAGGTGGTTTGTGAGGACAAACATTTCTTCCATTCCTCAAAATGCATTTGCCAGTTTACTCAACATTTCTCACATGTAAGAGATTTTTTTTTAATCATGCTAAACTATTTCTTTCAAGTTAATAGCAGTATGGGAAGTTGAATAATTTGTTTCATTGTATTCATTCCATTATATTATCTTTGGCAGATGTGGGATTGATTTGATTAGTTGCTGCAAGAACTTAATTTTTTTATGATGGTTTACACTAGTCCACGTGGTCACTTAATACTTCTTGTTATTTGACAGTCCATGAAACTCCATAATAACCTAAACCTATGTATTTTTGTAAAAGGGAATACTTCAGAAGAAAATTAAGAATTGAAAGCCATATTGAAGAGGCACACTTTGAGCTTTATCTTAAAGAGTTAATTGATGTCTTAATGTGCAGCGCAGAGAGAGTTTGAGAGTGTGAGCGAGGGATAGAAAGACCAATGGCTCAAGACTGGACTTTCTGAGACTTTGTGCATGAGAGGAGAAGCTCTGATCTGAGTGAGAGGCAAATGCATTGAGAAATTTGTGTAGATAGGGGGACCGGTGCAGTTTTATGAGAGTGGGAGAAATTAGACTGTGTTAAAAGCAGAGTTCTGCACAGCTGGAGCCAGACTTTTGTAGAAAACCTCAAACATCAGAATTAGAATCAGAGTAAGCTTTATTATCATTGTACCTAGATACAGCGAGAATATGCCCGCACTGCCATCCGAAAGATGGGCGGCATGCACGTAGCTGCTGCTATGATAGCGCGGCCTCGTATCCTTTTCAGAATACATTTTTAGATAGAAAAGGGAACAAAGCCATGAGGAGAGGATAGTGGCATTACAGAAAAGATCTATTCACAATTTGTCCTATCAGGACACGATTTAAGACATCAAATAAACTCTGCCAGCAAGCACATTTATGAACACGTTACATGTGCATTTGACAACAAGATGTTGAGATTTGTCCATGAAACACTTCCAGATAGACTATTGTCCTGATAAGATGAAGGTCAGCCGGCACAGTTCTGATAAGCCTCCACAGAAGTTCTCGGGGTGGGGGGGTGGGGGTGGGGTTGCGATAGATGAAGCCTTCCTTAGTTTACTCATTTCCCAGTAGAAAGTAATATGTCGGCCTGTTTTCGAGGCCAATCAGGGGAGTCAGATTCAGATAAGACACAACTGTTGATTTTCTACAGGCAGACTTTTTTTTTTTTTTTTTGGTCAGCCTTGAGTCTTACTGGTACTTTCAAGATCCAAAATGGCCAGATTAGGGTGCATTTTACTGGTCCGTGCTTACAAGCCCCTCCAAGGTCGCTTCCAGTATGCTGGCGAGTCCCAAAGCCGCAGGTGGCCTGTGATTCTCACAAATCACTTCCATCTTACGGTTTAGCTCGTAAATCAGCTGATTTTGAGTCCGCAAAGCACGAACCAAACCTTCACAAGGCAGGCAGCCTGATGAGGGCCAAATTAGCTGCAGCTGTCTTCTTGTATGTTGATAGAGCAGGAACCAGCCGATTCCAAAAAGCAGGAAACGTGTTATCATAAATCTGATTGTATATTTCTTCGGCGTCCTCCTGAGATTCTCAGCAGAACATGAGGTCTCTCCAGGACCCTCTCGCTTTGTTGAAAAGATTTTGTCGATTGCGTTGAAAGTCCAGTTGATCAGATCCAAAACAGTAGTTTTAATTTTGAAAGATGTGTAAAATAGAAGCTCTGATGCACAAACAGAGCAGGAGGAGAACAGCAGAGGGAAGGGAAAGCGTCCGTCTTGTACGAGAGCGAGTGAGGTAAAAAAAACATGACCCCATTGCAGTAATATAGCCTAAATGTAACAAATACATGCCCTGTGATCACCCAGTGACTGCTGGACATGGGTGCCAGTTCAATCCAGCTATCTGGGAAGGAAAAAACAAGTGTAGATGATGGATGGATAATGGATGGATGAATGGAGCAAAGACATGGTCCAAAGTCTGATACAAAGTGGGTTGGGGGGGAGGGGGGTCTTGCAATTTTCTTCTGGTTGAATAAAGCTGATTGGTGACATATTTGATGTAAGCCTGGAATGAAACTGTGGAGTCCAAAATGACACCCAAGTTGTGAATATCTCAGGACAGTGAGGAGGGGCAGTCATCATGGTCTAGAACTTTAGCTTTCTGGAGTAAAGACTTGTGGTCACAACAAGGAGTTCTATTTGTTCCCATTGAGCTTGAGCTACTGTAGTTTATGACATCCAAGTCCGGATTTGATTCAAACAAATGACAAGTGGTTTTGGGGGGACCTGAGTAAAAGAGTTAGTACTGAAACAGTTATGAAATGTCATCAAAGTGGAAGCATAGACCACTGCAACAGATCTCCATGGGTGGGTGTGTAGATATTGGCTGGACTATGAATAAAATAAAAGTTGTTAAGCAATAAATCTTCTCAGTGACTGGATGGAATACATCAGAACCGTCTTTATTTTTCCCCAAATACAAGAAATCCATCACAGACACAAGTAGCAAGTGTGTCAGCTCATATCTTGGTGCTTTTAATGTTTTAGCAACTAGAGCAGCTGTTATTTCCCTCAGAGGAAGTGCATTTCCAGTGACAGACGTCTTGAACTTTTTTGTGTAAGTCATTTGTTATTTTACTTCAGTTTGTCGCATTGTTGCCACAGCTGTAGCTGCAACCCAAGTTTTGATGCCAGAAGACAATGCCTTGTAGACATTGTTGTGCTCATGTTGTTCATGATTGTCATAAGATGCATTACTTCCTGTTTGCTTCACTTGGAATAAGTTGAATTACTAGCACCTCAAGATTCCATAATTGTTTTTTCCTTCAATAATCTACACCTAGTTCCTCACATTAACAAAGTGAACATTGAATTTTACACAAACCCTTCAAATATGTCAATTTAATAAGTTTTATCGTTCTAACACCTTAGTACTGAGTTTGACAGCCATTACAGCCTCGTCTCTTTTGGTTTGATGGGACAAGCATTACACATAATGGAGAATTTTCTGCTTTAAAAAAAAAAAAACCAAATCATCTCAAGCTCAGTCAGACTGGATGAGAACTGTCAGTGGACATTTTCAAGTCTCATCATGTTTGGTTCAAGTCAGTGCTATAGAACATTATACACAGCTGACCCTGAAGCCAGTATCTCACTGGGCTATAAATGTTGGCAATTAGTTGGTGACATTCCCGAGGGAGTTTCCAAAATGTCTTGAAACATTTGTGAGGGTTCTCCATTTTTGTGTGAGCCGCAGAAGCTCCAAGTCTTATTGTTTACATTTTGAACCATTAATACAAATTCTGCAGCCATGCCAAGGCAAGTATAATACAGGAGAAGATGGGCAACAAAATAATTTGCACAGCCTAGAATACAGCTTTCAAAGCACACTTAAATAGACCTGGACTTTCTGAAACTGGCCTCACAAACTGCAGCTGCATGTCTCGCTGTTTGCTTGATCACAGTCAGGATCTAGTCTAGTGAAACCACAACAGAAAATTTGATGCTCTTGCTATTTTGAATGAACAATGTCTCTAACAGTTATAGTCAAATGAAATAGTGGCTTAAACCGTATCCGTGCTGCCTTTGCTGTGTGCTTTGGGTCATTGTCATGCTGGAAGGTGAACGTTTGGTCCAGTTTGAGGTCCAGAACTCTGTGGAACAGGTTTTCATTGAGGATATCTGTTTATTTTGCACCATTCAGCTTTCCTATCCATCAGTCTCCCAGTCCCTGCTGCTAAAAACACAGCATGGTGCTGCCACCACCATGCTTTACTGCTGGGTTTGTACTCAAATTAAGAGTTTCCACCAGACGTGCTTCGTGTAGAGGTCGAGCAATTCAGACTTGGTTTCATGAGACATTTTTGACAAATAGGGCCAAGGTTTCCACGGAGTTATCTGCTCTGAGAGATGTAAACTCACTTTGCAGCAGCTGACCAAACACAAGGAGGACACTATACACAAATAACAGCCGTTAACTCACTTGATCTTGTCAAATTTGGACACATGGGACCACACTCAATCAAAAAACCACTTTGATGTGTTAATAAGAAATATATAAAGTGCAGTCTAATTTTAAATATGTTCATACAAGTTATTAAAAAAGTCAACATCTGCACATTACTGCAAATCACCTCAAAATGCAGTATGCATAAAAGTATTGTTGTGTTTGTTGCATTTATTTTTTCCAGATACATCACTGATGACGACACTTTGAGATCTCTTGAGAAGCATTCTTTTCACGACCTATCTGCGGTCACGCACATGTATGTAATCTGTGGAGCTGCAGACAGATCTGTTAGTTTGTGCTGCTTTAATCTGAGAAACCAATTTACAAGCGCATTCCAATTACTATTCTTTCTGGTACGGCCTGAGTGAGATGGAAAGAAAAATATTACATTTGGTTTCACTGCTGTCATTGAGTATTCATATCGAATAAGCAACTAAATGAATATTAAAGTATTAATTCTGTTATTTTAAAGAGGCCGATCAGTTTATGGTTCTCATAACAATATCTTGTACAATGTACACATATTTCTACTTTAGATTAATTGTGGTTTCTTAAGGCATAAAGTGAGAAATGTAGGCAGTGAGTAACTTTAATGAGCCGTGTCTGAATATATTTCCACTATAATAAATATGAAATATTACATTTTTACAGAGATAATTAAAAGTCTAACTTTGACCCAAAATGCTTTTCAATTGGAGGATCAGGACTTACTTGAAAGCTTCTGGAGCCACTTCACTGCCCATAAAATGTTTATCCATGAATGAAAACTACTTTAAAAGAGCTGCATTTATGTAACAAAAAATAACTGTACGAGTTTATCTCTTCTATATGTGGTGTGTGTGTGTGTGTGTGTGTGTGTGTGTCCATAGACAGCTCAATGGCATCAAAACACTGTCATACATTCATCAAGAGGCTTTTAAGGAACTTCCTAACCTAAAATATCTGTATGTATAAGTTGATTTACTTTTAACAATTTGAAAACATTTTATTTTTTTCATGCAGCAACATAAAAGTTTGGGGATTCATTTCTCATCTTGTAAGAACTTCCTGTGTTTTGTTACAGAGGAATCACTAACACAGGTCTCACGTCATTTCCTGTGCTAAACTATATAAAGTCAAGACAAGAAGATTTTATTTTGTAAGTATTTCAGTGAAAACAGTTGGTGTGTTCTTTATAAATTAACAACAAACTTGTGATAGAGTAAGAATAATTTGGTTGTCTTTTTTTTTTTTTTTTTACCAGGGAAATAGTGGATAATGTCTTCATTAAGTTCATTCCTCCTAATTCTTTTAGTGGAATGTCCATGAATTCTCTAACCATGTAAGTTGGTTCTGCTTGAGCAATGGCATGTTTTCAAAATTTCATAGTCATTGTCTAAAAAGTATTAAAACAAAAACTGTCCTTCAGTTTGATTAATACAAACCATGAAGTTAATATATTAAATAATAATCTAGTTTAAAGTTTTACTGTTTCACAAAAGGATGCACATCATGCTGAAGCAAGTTTAAATCTTATTGGACTTATTTTTGAGTCATTGATTTATTATTATTATTATTATTATTATTATTATTATTATTATTATTATTGAATGCAATCACAACACAAAATCACCTCAGACAGTTCAAACCGAAGACCATTTTGTTGTGAAGCGACAGTCTGAACTAAGGTCTAACAAACAAAAGATGGAGGCTGCTGCTTTCTCTCAACTTTCAATGGGCTTAATTTGTTTGGAGCAAAATAAAAAAGGAGAACCAACTAGGAGAGGAGGGAGGATGTGAACAGATAAGAGCTCTTGTCCGACCGTGAAGAGGCCTGGGAATGCTTCTTGAGCTCCTGATTGCATTCCTGAAGGGCAAGTTAAATAACCAAGAAGGTCAAGCCATCGTTGCATATTCCACAACATTTACTAGATATTCAGCTGGTACAAAGAAGGCGGGAACAGATTCTTGATTTCAAAGAAAGCTCCTACAACCAGAGGCGATTCTAGAACCTGACCTTTAGGGGAGAGCCAAAATCAAAACGGTCAGATTTGCAACTAAAGCTTTTAGTTTTAAGTTTTGCTTTTAAGTCTTTTTTTTAATGGATATGTTGTGTTTGATTGCATAATAATAAATAAAAAATAAACTCCATACCTCTCTCTTTTTTTAGCATGCTGAACAACAACGGTTTAAGAGAGATCCAGCGCTATGCTTTTAACGGGAGCAGACTGGAGGAAGTGTAAGGCATATGCACCTACTTTAGTCAAACAGGGATTATATAAACCAATTCAACACTAGAATTACAACCTTTGTGGGTCTGAAATGTTGTCACTTAATTACCATACATATATTGACCTTTTCCATGTGAAACTGATGATTTATGACATCATAACTTATATCTGCACTCTTTATTATAGGTACCTTCACAGGAATGTGGATTTGGAGCATATCGATGAATTTGCATTTTATGGGGTGATTCATGGCCCAACACACTTGTAAGCCTCGCTTCAAACCATTATATTTAACAAGTGACTCCACTACACCCATCACTTCTGTGGGGCACAAATCATTTTCTAATCTTACCCACACAAGTGGCATTTTTCAACCCTAGAAGCATGTTTTACTGTATATTAATGGAGATAAATCTGTCTCAAAGAGTCACACAAGCCCCAAAATGAAATCTCTGAATTTTACTTGACGGGGGATGCTGACTGGCTTAGAGCACTGCTTCTCTGTTTAGAGGATTGGGACCCCCGAAACAAACAAACAAACAAAAAGAAAAACTCAAGAAATAAAATTCAATTAAAAATGACTGCTAAAAGCACATTGTTGTAATTGTATAATGGTTGTTGTAGCTGTTTTTGTTGTCATTGCCGTTTGTCAATGTTTCAACCAAAGATAGTCAGAATCACGTCTATTTTGTGCGTTAAGGGTGGAATATATAATATATACAATATATATATAATATTTACAATATATATATAATATATACAATATATATATATAATATATACTGGAATATCTTGCAAAAAGATGTAAAGCTCTCGACCTTTGACCTCTCTAAGTGGCTTTAAGAATCTATTGGACTCCTGGCAAGGACCAATGCAGACATGTTCCTGTTTTTTAGTTTTCAATATTTGCCTTATGATCTAGCTGTTTCTTGCTATTTTTGCAATCTTATTTTAATTTGTTAAAAAAAAAATCTGTATGCCTCTTTTATGATTGTCCACTGTTGTCATCATTCTTTGTTGAAATCAGGTCTCTCTTGTAAATGGGATTAACCAGTCTAAATAAAGGTTGAATGAAAAAAAGAGCTATAAAGTTTGAAATTATTGGCTTAATCTAATCCTGGTCCTGCACGTTTTAGATGTTTCTGCTCCAACACAAAAGATTAGAATCAATGGGTGATTAACAGGCTTCTGCAGATTATTAAGAGGAACTCAACCATTAAATCAGGTGTGTTGGAGCAGAGAAACAAGTAAAACATGCAGGTTAATGGACACCAAGGACCAGGACTGGACTCACCAGCTCATTTTCAGCCACTCTTAGTAAAAGACGGGTTTTTTAATTTATTTTTATTTAGTTGGCTCAAGCATCTTATTCTTTAACTTGTATGTTGCATCAGTTTTTTCTGGTTTCCAGTCCATCAATCTCAGTAAATTAATAAATATTGAGGATTAAAATATGTCAATGCTCTTCGTTTTCCCTTCGTAATGCTATAACTCATTCTCTGCACACATACTGATGAGTCAGCATGTGTATGGATTTTAAAAAGTATTTGCTACAGTCTTCTTATATCAGATTTATTTTTACTTCAGTTAAATATGCCTCTCTGTGCGTCCTAATCGTAGCCGTTTGTGTGTCCTTTCAGAGACCTTTCAGAAACCAAGGTGCACTCGTTGCCTTCAGTAGGTATGAGCAGCATCGAGAAGCTCCAAGTTAACAAAACGTGGGCCCTCAAAGCGCTGCCACCCCTAAGTGCATTTCTTCATTTGCAAACCGCTCATTTGACATTTCCAAGCCACTGCTGTGGTCTGAAAATGCTCAAAAGATTGAGAAGGTAAGACGAAAACTTGAAAATGGTTTGGAAAGGTTTTTTTTTGTTTTTATTCAGTTACCAGAGACATTTTATCTCAGACACTGGAGGATGTAATAGCTATGTAATAACTTTATGTAATATTGATATTAAACAAGTAAAGTGATCTACGTGAGTAAATAAGCTATTCCTTGCTAATTCATGTTTAATTGATTACATTTACTGCTATTCTTTATTTACTTTTCTGAATTAGTTTTGTGAAACATGGAGGGCCACAAGTGTCACTTGTAAATAAATATCCCATAAAATAATTAATTGAATGTGTTTGCACTAAGGTAGAATAAGGTGATTTATTCAGAACATAGTTATAAATTGTTTATAAAGAATATAATTTTTTTTCTCCATAATGATGTTTATCTTACCATCACACCATAGTAGAAACTGAGTTCTGGGGTTTAAACCCAGACTGTGGATCACCAGCACACTGTGCCTCAAACCAAACGTCCAAGTTCATCGTCAGACCTTGTCCAACCCTCAGAGCAGGACACCAGGACCTCACGCTTTAGGATGAAGGCAGTTCATGTGGAGGTGGCTGAGTCCAGACCCTGACTCAGGCAGACGTCTGTCCTGCATCAAAAAGGCAATCTGTTGTCAGACAGAAAAGCATGTTACCCAGGTGAGGGGAGGCTGCACCTGCACACCTGGAGAGTGGTCAGCCATCTTACTGTGACCTGCACGAACACTGGATGTGTCTCTGTTGTTTCGTTGATGTCACACAGACTTTAAAACAGAGCTATTCAACTAAGGGGGCCACAGTTACTGAAAGCCAAGAGCTCAGTGGCCGGACATCCAGCAGCTATTGTCATTAAATGTTTGTTTTACGGTTTAAAATCTAGTTTTATTGAAAAATGAACCTACTGGTGGGCCAAACTGAGCCCATCCACGGGCCTGATTTGGCCCCCGGACTGCCACTTGAATAGCCCTGCTTTAAAACCTCACCAGACTTTACCGCATCATTGCTGAGATGGAAAAAAAAAACCTTCAGGGCTTATGAGACTGAACTGTTGTATGAAGCCTAGCTCCAACTAGGGCGGGCTTTTTTACTGCTAGAACAGCAAATTAAACTTTTATTTTAAATGATCGATGTTCATGATGGAAACCTGGCAGAGCGTTGGTGAGTCAGGCTTTTTTTCTTCTTCAGTATTTACCCATAAACTGTACTCATTTTAGCACACAGAGGATTACTAAATATGGTGGAAGGGAAACAGCTGAGAGACTATTTTGCTGATTTTAGTGAGGAAACCTCTTACTTTCAACTGGAACTATTCAAGACTAGAAACTTACGAAGACTTGCCATCGAAGCTCTCGGGTAAACAATATGGATCACTAGATTCAGCTTTATATAACGGTCAGAGTACTTCTCACTGCTGGTCTTCAAACATCTAAAACAAGTCCAGTTACCCATGATTACATTTTTTAGCATCATAACGCCCTGAGTGACTGAGAACCTTCACAAGGACACCATCACTTATTTTCTGTATCCATAGAGTTTCAGCTATAGAATAGAAGTCCAGTAGTTTGTTTTTTAAAACCATTTTTGGGTTGTGGGCATATAATTTACAATTTAATCAATTATTTATGAAATCTATAAAAACATTCAATTAATTATTTATTAGACTGTGACACTTTTGGCCCTTGATGTGCTTTTTGAAAACCTGAGCGCAGACATTTTGATCTTTTGCATTATGTATAAATATGTTGTGCTGTGATTACAACTTTTTTGCCTTACCTATGCTCAAGACACACAGAAGAAGTTTTCTGCAACCTGACCAGGGCTGGTTTGGGAAAGCTGCAGGACTCTTCCGATCTCTCACAAAAGCATCTGGAACACCAAGTCTCCCAACATCTGCAAGGCGGCTTTAATATCCTAACTACTGGCGGCACAGATTACAACCTGAACTACGCTGTTGGTTGTCCGAACAAGCTGTCTCAGGAGGAGGGTTTGTTTTCAGTGGATTTAGCTTCAGAGCAGTTTAGGGAGGATTTTGACCTTGGCCTGTGTGATCATCACACAGATAATGGACCTTCATGCACACCTCTGCCTGACGCCTTAAACCCCTGTGAGGATATAATGAGCCAAGGCTTCCTGAAGGTTTTAGTCTGGGTGGTTAGTTTGTTAGCCATCTCAGCCAACTCCTTAGTGCTGCTAACCCTGCTGACATGCCAACAGAAGCTGTCTGTCACCCGCTTTCTAATGGGTCAGCTGGCCTTTGCAGACGGATGCATGGGCATGTACTTAATGCTCATTGCATTTGTCGATTTCTACACACACTCGCATTATTATCGTTACGCCATTTCCTGGCAGACAGGAAGCGGGTGCATTCTGGCCGGGATTTTATCCGTGTTTGCCAGCGAGTTGTCCGTGTACACATTGACTTTAATCAGCTTTCAGCGCTGGCACGCCATCTTTAATGCAATGAGGCCAGACAGACACATGAGGCTGAGGCACACAGTAGTGCTGATGCTCATAGGATGGCTGCTCTGCGTAACCATAGCTCTGCTGCCAGTGCTCGGTGTGAACACGTACCAGAAAGTAAGCATTTGTTTGCCCGTGGACACAGAGTCAGCTCTTGCCCGGGCTTATATAATTTCTGTGTTGATCATTAATGTCATCGCTTTCGCCATGGTATGTTTGTGTTACCTTCACATCTACTGCATGGTGCACAACCCCCAGCGTCACTCCAGCAGATTTGATACAAATATGGCAAAACGCATGGCTGTTCTTATCTTTACCAACTTCCTCTGCTTGGCTCCCATTTGTTTTTATGGCCTGTCTGCAGCTTTCCACCAGCCACTCATGACCATCACAGACTCTAAGGTAGGAACATGTTTATTTGGCTTTAATCTAGAAAGTTCCTCATTTTAAAACAAAGGTTCATTTATTTTCCCCCCCCCCCACAGGTGCTGCTCGTGCTTTTCTACCCTCTCAACTCTTGTGCACACCCATTTTTTTATGCCATTCTAACAAAAGCATTTCACAGAGACATCTTGAAGTTGCTCAGTCGCACAGGGCTGTGCCAGCGGCGAGCACACTTCCACCAAAACCAACTCATCCGTGTTACGCCTCACAGTTACAGAGAGAAAGTGCTTGCCCTTTCATCCGGACACCAACATCCCAAAACGTTTTAAATTGTTTTGCATTAAAACATGAAATTACGATACTGTGGTCAGTTTCATCTGCAATCATGTGGTGGTTAGATAATGCATTAATTGTTAAATGTACAAAAGTATCAAGCTACGTCATTTAGCTTGTTTTTCTTTACATTTTGGTGCCTAAATTTAAGCTGCTTGAGTTCAACAAAATTAATTCTTCAAGCATTCACAACTAAAATATTCAGAACGTGCTTTTCTGAATTTTATAATTAGTTTGATCAGAGTTCCTGATTTGTCTTTTCCTGCAACTAGCCACTCATTTATTTTGCTTATTCATTATCAGGATAAGTGGCGTTCAAAGGGTCCAAGACATCTCTTTGTCCAGAAATACTTTCCAGCTTCTTCTGAGGGAAAAGGTTAGTTCAGCAAACTCCATAAGATCCCCTTAAAAAGCCATGCTTTGAAGGCCTTTCCTTGGGGGTTTACCTGAAAGTGCCTGCTTGAGTTTAAAAAAACGTAGGAAACCAGAAATCATGCCAGGTGGTTGCTAACTTAAATATAAGATGCCAGCATGTTGTCTCCTAGTGCTGACCAGTCGGATACCAGTGGCTAGATCAGTAGCTGCCCACAGATGGGTCAGTGATACTAGTTTCATGTTGTGTATTAACTAGTCTCAAATATGTATTTGTGACTCTCCAAATGTGGGAGAAGGTGCTGTGGTCAGGTGAGATTAAAATTGAACATTTAGGTCATCGAGGACGCCGCCGCGAAAACCAAACACCCCGTATCATGTTGAGAATCCTATCCCCCACAGTGAAGCATGGTGGTGGCAGTGTCATGCTATGTGGATATACTTCATTGGCAGGGACTGGAAAACTGGGTCATGATGACACAATGATCCCAAACACAGCAGCAGATTTACAACAGAAATGCTAAAAATGAATTTCAATGTATTGCAATGGTCCAAAGTCCAGATCTCAACCCGACATGTTGTGCAGGACCTTTAGTCTTTGCTAACCTCACTGAGCTGAAACAACGATGTAAAGAGGAGTGGGCAAAACATCAGCTCTGCTACTGGTGATCCTACAAGCTGTCCACATTTAGATTTTCAGTTTCTTCATGTTTATTTCATAAACAATGACATGATGGACTGTCCAGATGACCCGACTGAAAATTGTTGGATTGTATACCTGGATTATCCAGCGTGGACATTTTTGATGGAATGTTGTATTTTTGTACACTTGAAATTACATTTAAAAGTTTTTATGACGGACGCAGCCACTCACTGCCAGGTATTATTGCGAGCCCACCCAGGGGTCTTTTTAGACACCAGGTATGGGTTTTGTTTTCCATACATACATCGATACATATACTGCATGTCGATTAGAAACAGATAAATTATTGATTCTCAAAGAAGTGTGTCTTTTTGCGGCAGTTTTCTTTTTGAATTAAAATTAAAAAAATCAACAGCTGGAAAAATTAAGCACATTTTATTTTTTTATTTAGTCAAATGTCCCGTTGGTAGAGAGGGTGGGACTTAAAAATGGTACAGCAGCTAGAGGTGGGGGGTCTTCTGTGGCTTACCTTCTGGCCCCCAGGCCTGCGTCTAGAGTAATATATGCTATGTGTGTTCCTAAACATCTGTTACTTTTACAAATGTATAATTTTTTAACTGAAGCATGTGCAACTCAGGTTGCCCTTTTGACCTTCCTCTAACACTAATGGTTGGTGTTTTGTTGCAGTCCGTTACTCTTCCCAACACATTGTAAAAGGAACAAACTGCTCACTGCTGCACCTAACATCATGTACTGGATTTTTTTATTCAAACAAATAATTCATTGACAAACTACAAATATATATTTTCTTTTTTGAAAAAAAAAAAAAAGTTGCGTCTTTGTAAACAGCGTTATCCTACAACATGTCCCTGACAGCAGAATTGTGTTGTACCATGGCACTGTAGACCGACTTGTACACTTTCAGAACATCCAGAGCTGAAGGTCGGAGCTTGGGGTCTTCCTCCTTGCATTCCTTATGGATCTGAAAAAGATGGAAGCGAACCAGTTCTGTTTCAGGTGTCTTTCCCAATATGAACTGTGTCACGCTTGGAATCTTCCAGATATCTGTCTTTTCATCATATGCGGGCATGACACTGTCTGAAAATGGCTGCCCACTACTTCTGAAAGGCCAAAGCTGCTCTGGGGCAACAAAATCTCCAGTGAGCTCCCGATGGCCACATTTTACCAACAGGTTCCTGGACAGATCCACTTCAGGCAGCGCGTCCAGATCATTCACCACCAAGTGAAAGTCGTTAGTCAGCAGAAACTGGGAAAGAGTTTTCTCCAAGCTGTTGGAGTCGCACATTACTCGTCGCCCGGCTGGGCTGTTGTGAAGATAATGGAGAATGGTGACGTATTCTATAGCTAGTCTCAGCCGTATCTGCCACGTGTTGTACTGCTGCCGTTGTGCAAGGACATTTTCCAGGTTGAGCAGTGAGCCATGCGGGTGGTGCTGGGTAACGATGACGTGGTCCTCAAGGCAGAACCCCACCAACTGGACCACTAGTGACCCCTGTAAAGCCTGCAGCATCGACAACCCATGGAGAAAGTCTTCCAGGTAATCCAGAGAGGTCAGCTTGGACAGAGCCACCTTCTGACCCTTCCACTCTGACAGAAAAACCTGAGAGGGACAAAAAGAGCCCGCTCAGTTGACTTTACACATTCAGACAATTTATAAATGTTACTAGGGATGCACAATATTATCGGCATAGTATCGATATCGGCCGATATTTGCGTTAAAGTTAAATATTGGACATCGGCCATTCCATCGAAATAACTCCCTTATAAAAAGGCACTGGTTTTGTATAACCCAGTGACAAGGACGCCTGCAGCACCAGCACAACATGATGACGTCGCAAGCTGATCTGATCACGGCGGAGAGGAAGAAGTCAAAATGTCGGTGGTGTGGAAGGTTTTTTTTGTTGTTGAGGATGTCAGATTCCAAAGATTTATGGAGTACGTTGAGCCTCGTTACATCGTCCCCAGTCTGAGACATTTTTCCGACATAACCTTATGCGAGTTACAAGCCGTCATTTCCGACGTCATTGAGAAGCTAATAGTTGACAGCACTTGGGTGAGTTTTACCACAGACATCAAGTGTTAGCCCCGTTAGCATGATTAGTCTTACAGCACAATGGATAGACAAAAACTTTGAACTTAAAAAGTCTGTCCTTCATGCACAAGAGTGCAGAGGATCACACACTGCAGCTATAGGAACCTGGAACAAGCCTCCACATGTGAGACAGCATCACAGGTGACTAATGCTAATAAATAACATTTAACACTGTTCATTTAATATAAGTTAAAGTGCATATCATATGGCTGTTACTGAATATATGTCACCAGCTCTTACAGCTGTTGCACAATTTTTGTAGCAAATAAGCCTAAATAAGAGGAATATGTTCGTATATAAAATATTGGTATCAGCCAAAAATCCAATATTGTGCATCCCTAAATGTTAGTGAACAAAAATTCCCAGCTTATTTCCATGTTATGAGTCCTAACAGAACTAATGAGACACTTGGTTTAGATCTACAACTAGAACACTTGGAGTCAGCTTAATTCAAGATGGCTGCTGCAGTTAAGGGATTCCTGTAAAACGCAAAAACGGCTACAACGTGGCTACACATTGGGCAATATTTTTGTATAAAACTTAGGCATTAACTGTTAGCAAAATATCTCCTGAGCCACTTGGCAAAATGGAATGAAGCTTCCAGAAAGTACTGGATGCAAATCTACAACAGATTAACTTGTAGTCAATCCACTTCAAGATGGCTTCCACAGTTAAATAACAACAGTCAACACAAAAATACCTGTGACTCGTTCAGTTTTACAGACGTTCAGGTAAAGTTGGGTGTGGTAGCTGAGAGTCATCCTTAACACACACCGAGCATGGGATCTCTTAATCCAGCATGACTGTGCAAAATGTCACTTTCTTGGTTTGACCAAAAATACCTGCAACACTTTCATTTCTCGACATAAAGTGATATTACTTTAAAACTCCCGCATGAAAGGCAATGGGTAATTTGCCTTCCTAAAGAATACTAGGTCCTTAATAATATATGTGTTTTTAAAATATGTATTGTGTCTTAACACATATCCAGAGTCAATAAACTTAAGCACCAATCCACCTACCTTCTTAACAGCTCCCTGGCCGATCAGCTGTAGCGTTCGTACCTCTGCATTAATCTGTGGACACTGGAGCCACGGGGTACAGTTTTTCATGTTTGCCATTTTAAAGTGTTGTGGAAGGCAGCCTACATGTGTATACACCAGCTGCTCATCCGTCTGATACACACTGTCCAGACAGAGGTAAATCAACACGCTGCTGAGGAGCAAAGCAGCGAGGCACACCATTACTGCAGAGACACCGAGGGACAGAACACTGCCTCTGCGCTGACCCATGGTCATCTGCGTTTCAAACAGAAAACCAGCTGTTACAGGTGGTGATGGTACAGACTTTGTCTAAACAACATACAGACAGACATTCCTTTATAAATATATTCTAGAATTAGAGACCAGCTACAAGCGTGGTGGTTTACTTGCCTGTAAACACCTCCCTCACTCCTTAGTGCTGAGTCAGAATTCACACTGTTTGCCACTTTATAATTGCATATTTTAACCACGTTTTAGCTTCTTCAGCAAGCTTTAGCACGGTTATTTAGCGTTCACGCTATATTTTTGAGTTGCTACTTTGAAATTATGTGGGCTAAAAAAAAAAATTCTAAAGCAGTAGTGCCCAAACTAATTTAGCAAAGTGCATCTTAAGATTTTTTTTCCCCTCTTAGCTTAAAATGATAATCCAGCAATATTGAATTCTACTTTTTAGTAATATTTTCTTTTCAATTATATAAAAGTACACTTAAAATAGGCGTTTGATTTGTGTGTGTAGGTGGGGAGAGAAGTTGTGTTTGCCTTTTTCTTTACTTCTATCATGTCAATAAGCCCAAAAAACAGTACCTTTAACCTCTCCTGTGATGGGAAGAGTTTTTATGTTCACTCAGAACCTGTGTGCTGCTGACAGAAGAACAAACCCCGCCCACACGGCGCGTCGGTTTGTTAGCCGGCGTACAAATGGTGTGGAGCCCGTGTGAGAAGGTCCTTAAGCAAAGACTGTAATGTGTCTACAACTTTAAACAGAACGTCATGTAGTTGGCATGTAGGCAGATTGATCAAGATAAGTTATTAATCTTAGCAGCTATCATTGTGTTCCCACCGTGATTAAAAAATGCAGAGTATTTAAAAAGACTACCACAAAAAGGAGGTTTTGTCAATAAAAGAGGACAATCTCAGGTAACGTCACATAAATTTACTGATCTGCACTGATTTACTCACAGAGCTGCTGTCATTCTCCTTCGTTTTGGTTTCTTCTTCTTCGCCTGCTTATTCTGCTGTTTCTTCTTCTTCGTTTTTAGGTCCGTTGGCAAACGACGAATTACCGCCACCAGCTGGTATGTGGACCAAAACAAAGCTCAAAAAATCTAAAATTAGAGAGAAAGAAAAGGAAAGATTGAGAGTTTGATGGAGGAATTTTTTTTTTTTTTTTTTTTTTTTTTTTTTTTTTTTTTTT